AAAAAAAAAAAGTAGGCATATTATCATATGTACAATCTTTACCTGAAAAACTTCCAGAAATAAAAGACAAGTAGAAAAAGGGTCTGAAACTCTTCACAGTTTATGAAAGTCTTAAGAACTCAGTTAACAACTACTCTATTTTTTTAGTAAGAAACTACCAAGTCTGTCTTTTTAACCAAAATACAGTGATGATCTACATAATACAGGAAACAATTTTTAATATAAAATATTCTTTGAAATAAATAAAATAGCGTCAGAATATGACTAGATATTCTGAACTCCTCCCAGAGATCCTCTCTTATGGATTGTTGGCATTTTATTCAGTCTCCATTGTTTGTAAACTTGAGAATCCTATTGGACTAAGAAGAATGAGAATTTGTGATGCTCTTTTGAATGTAACATTTAGTTAATGCTGAAAATTGAGTAAAAACTATTTCAAGTAAAACCAAAAATTGATGCAATTCTTCTGTTCCAGCATAACTTTTCTTCAAAATAAAAATTCTATTTTCTAAGTGTTATTCCTAAGCAATCTCCATATGTTATCAGAGATGTTCCACAAATAATAAGACAATCTATAGTCTGCTTCTAAGAAATGTAATTTTGCATATAATAATATAATATCATGTTTCTTATTTTTTCCTAAGAAATTTAGCACTGGGAACTTGTTACCACACTCATGCAAACAGGAATATCTTAACTAGTCTTCAGCTATCCTGCTCTGAACCAGAACTGTCACCCTGCCAGTGTAGAAGTCCATAGTATAAAACACCTCATTCTGAAGCTTGATTTTGGTTTTGTTTCTTGCCTCTCTCTTTAAGCTTAAGTTTCATTCTTACTAAAGCACTGTTAAAAACCAAATGAATTTTCAGTTTATACCTCATCTAATAAAATACTTTATATTGAGACTCTTCCTTTCTTCATTTATAGTGATGTGAAGTGAATTTTCCCTTTCATTTCTTGTATTTTACCGTAGAGGAAAATTCAACTAAAATAACAGAATGCCTTAAGGGAGTGAATATATCTAGCAATGGTCTGGCATTAAAATTTTCTGGTTGGGCAGCACAATTGTTTAATTGGGAATCTCAGTGACAGCTGAACAGCCTTATCGCTTGGGTCAGCAAGCAGAGGTGCTTCAATCTGTCACCTATCAAGAATGATGCTTATCAGGACTAATCTGTTTGCATAAAGAACGTTTGTGTTTCTAGTAGTATCATTGATGTTTTCTGATATTAAATGGAATAGACACTACAACACTGAAAGAGACAAAGTTCTCTGCATAGGCATATCTGTAATTCTTTGTTTTCTGTAAGCCAAATGCAAATGTAATACTACTCCAGATACTGCTCCATCAGAAGTTCCCAAGATAACCAAAAGTAAGTGCCCATTTCCTTATCTCAGGAATAATATCTTAACAAAGACTGAATTCTAATGACCAGACTTTTTGCAGAGCATGTCATACAGTCTCTGTGTTAGCTTCTAGGCTTCCTAATAGATACCTCAAAGAGTCTATGATGTTTTTGCATGTGTTACTTACTAATGTGTAGAAAATTTTTTAAGTTCACTTTTTCTTTATTCTGTCTCTTTTACCCATCTTCCTGCATTGTAGCAAATTAGACGGCCGGATGAAAGCAAAGGAGTTGCTAGTAGAGTTGGATCCCTCAAAGTAAATATGTTTCTAACATTTTTTTTTTTTTTTTCAAGATTTCGTCTATAACCTACACTTCTTTTTAGGAGGGTGGTGGGAGGGAGGGGGCTTTTTCCATTTTTCACCATCCCATTTTTTTTTTATTTCAATATTTTTATTGGCTGTTGGGTCATATTATTTTTTGTTGTTGTTTCAGCTACACTTAGAGCAACCAGCTGAAGGCAAGATGCCAAATAACTAGCTTTGTATGGCACCATAAACAAGAGAAAAGGCAACTGCCTCATTCAAGGTGCCTATAATTGGGGTTCTAGAGTAAACCGTTCCTCTGATGGATGTCACTGACTGTGTGTTAAGTTTCTTACACAGACAAATAAAACTTAGTTTCATAGTATCTCCCTTTCTGCCTTTTTTTGTAAAAAAGTAATTAAATGTTATTTTTTTGTGACATTACTCTTTTAGTTCATTCTAGAAAATTATTGTGAGTAAATAGCCCATATTTAACATGTATAATCATAATGACTACAAGAAAAGACGTTTTATATGATGCTAGTATAATGATTCCACATATAGCTAATATTAAATATTCTTAGTTTTCTGTTTCATTTTTTAATTAAAAAATAGATACATCACTCATCTGTATATGCAACCTGCTAATCTACAATTTAAAGATTTAAATTGGTCATCCCATTTCTAATTGTTGAATATCCATTTGCTTAATATATCTTGGGCACTTCAGTACTCTTAACACTTGATCACAGTAAAAGGTAAACAAGCTATTACCTTTAAGAAATACAGGCATAGCCATTGATCACTCTTAATGCTGCCATGAGAAATGCAAGGTAGAGCATCTGCTGAACTCTAAACATATGCAGAAGGACCTCCTCCTCCTTCTCCCAACGCCCCCCCCCAAAAAAAAAACCACTAAACACTCGCCTACGTCTTAATTCTATTTATCCTTTTAGCCATAGTAGCTGTTAAAGTAATCAAAATGCTAGATAATTTACTTCCCTGCAATGTCCCCCAAGTTCCTTAACTACTTTGAGGCCTATCATCATTTAGAAAATTTACATACTTCTAATATATTTCCATTTAGTAATTTATAAAACACAAATTTCTGCACTCTTTCCTCTCCTTGCCTCTTCTGCCTTCTTAGTTTTACTTTGTGTTGTTGTTTGTTTATTTATTTGCTTGTGCACACATATGAGTGCACATGGATGAAGAAGGTGTGTTTGTATGTTTGTGTCCTTTATTCCAGATCAGCCATCCTCTCTGTTCTCTAACACTGCTTTATAGTGGGTAGATATTTTTTTCAATGTTGTTTCACTAATAATCAAACGGGATAGAAAGCTTTGATTATATGCCTATATCAAAAACTAGGCAATCTAAGATTATTCAGTCAGAAAAAAATGAGTTTGTGTATCCTGATGATATATTAGTAGCATTCCTCACTGTCTACCTGTGAGGTATCATATTTTACCATTGTCTTTCAGGGAAGATAAATTCATTATTGTTTGGACCATAGATTATGACTCATTCAAGTGAAAGGTACAGTACAAGATACCTTTTTAAAAATTACTAGTAGTGAAATAAAAAAGAAAAATGGCGTCCATAATTGCAGCACCTGTTGTTGTAAACTGGATTGTGTGTGCAAGAATGTGTGTTTGTGCAGTTATCTTGAATTTCAGTGTTTGGTTATATAGAACTGCAAGTTATAATTGTATGTTTATTGTTTTTAAGTGTATATACAGTGTGATTATGTATATACGCACAAACACACACAAACTTATATGCTTAAGAACAAAAGATGTATGTTAGGGTTTGATCAGTTTATTTTAATATAGGTACAGCCTTGCCTCTGGAAGCTTGTTTGGAAAGCAGAAGTCAAATTTCATAATCTTTAAATATCTTTACTCCATTTTCTACCAAATAATTTTTTTTTAATCTCTAAGGAATTATAGGAATAGTTACTTTCTCTCTAATGCTTTGAAAAGAAAAGGTGTAATTAAACAAATAAAACAGTGACTTGCAAGTTGGGTTTATTGAGCAATATATTCTTGTGTTACACAAATATCTTTAATGCATTGAAATGTTTGCTAAAGGCAGTGAGAAATGTATAATGCTATGATCTTATTTTTAAAAGGAAAAAGAGGAAAACTGAAAAGAGAACAAATTGCTTTTTTCAATTCATTTTCTGATGTTTACATGTAGCTCCATCGAAAGCTGGAGGAGCTCAGAGATCACCTAGAAGGCAATGTGAAAGGATACTCTCTCAGAGTAAATGTACGATTTCACTTGTTGGTTTTTTCCCCCTAAACTTCTGCTGACTGGTAATTCCAAATCTGATTGGTTTGTCCTCCCATCTCCATCTTTTTTCCTTTCTGTCTTCTTCCCCCTATCTCACTCTTTCTTTTCTAGCTGCAGCTTCATGCTCACATTTTTGAAACAAAAATTAAACCTAACAGAGTAGAGGACCCTTAAGCCACACTAACATTGCAGTTGATTTTATAGCATTTTGGTGCCATTGCCAGAAAAAAAAAGGCACACTTTCTTTTCAAAGTCAGTGTTTCTTATACATATTTTTCTAAGGGTCTTTTTCATTTGGAGTTTTACCATTGCCCTTGTCTTCTGCCCCTTGTTGAATAATATATCAACAGGTGTTTAAATTGCGGGTTGGATGGAGGGGCATAGTCTTGATGGTTCAATTTCTACTGTCCAGGAAACTGATCAATATTACCATATCATGTAGGTAATCAGGCAAATAAACACATTTGTTCTGCATTAATAACCTTTCTTAACTCAGATACTTCCGGAATAATTATAAGATGCCAATCTTGTTTGTTTTAAAATATGAAATTTAGGCAGTTGAATCCTTACAGGAACATTTTCATGTCTCATCTTACTGTATATACATCACATTGTTGTTGTGAAGTGCCGATGAGTCGGTTCCGACCCATAGCAACCCTGTATAGGATTTCCGAGGATTAGCTGGTGAACTTGAACTGCCAATCTTGCCGTTCAAACGGCTTTGCAGTCTGGCGCATTAACCCGCAGTGCCACACCAGGACTCCATACATCACACAGGCAATATTAATAGTCACATTTTTGTGATAGTTCAATTTTTGTTAATGTTTGGTACTTCTGCTTATATATCTTTTCGTGAAAAATGGGAGGAAAATCTCTAAAATGGTTTATGGTATAAATATAGTAGGAAAAATAAACCTAAAATATTACACAATAATCTATGACTCTGTTTAACCCTGACTTCCTATTCCTGGAATTTTTAAACAAGTCCCAATGAATTCTAGCTCCTGATTTACCTCTCCAAAGATTGCTGCCATACATTTAATTCATTTTACTATAATAGTCTATAGCAGTAGTTACAAAAAGTATAATAAATATTGGTGGTTATGTGCCGTGGAGTCAGAACCAACTCACAGTGACACTGTACAGGGTTTCCAAGGCTGTAAATCTTTACGGGAGCAGAAAGCCTCAATTTTCGCCCGTGGAACAGCTGGTAGTTTCGAACTGCTGACTTTAAGGTTTGCAGCCCGATTCGTAACCACTACGCTACCAGAGCTCCTTATAATAAATATTAGTGATGTAATAATTTCTCATCTTGTTTTTAATTATATATCATGCATTTTTTCATTTTTAAGTGTTGGTTGAGTCAGTTCTGACTCATAGCGACCCGGTGTATATCATGCATTTGTTGTTGTTGTTGTTAAGTGCTGTCGAGTCAGTTCCAACTCATAGCGACCCTATATAGGGTTTCCGAGGAGCAGCTGCCATATGTGAACTGCCAACCTTGTGGTTCGCAGTCCAGTGCTGATCCTACAGTGTCACACCATGAGTCCATATCACACATAGACATGTATCTGTTTACATGAAATTTTGTTAGCTACAGGAAGGAAGAAGAGAATTAATACATGTCTCATCTCTCTAATTCTCTCTCTAGAGTCAGCCCTTCTCTTCTATGCATATTCTTATACAATATGAAAATCATAATCCATAGAAGTTAATCCATTGTTAAAAGAAAAACATTAGTATGATTAAATCAGTTTGAACATAGCTAAACACTATTCTAGAAACCCCTAAAAAGAATCTAGTAATATTCGTATACATGGTGTATGAATATATTAAAAGTGCTATTTTTTCTTTCAATCAATTCAACTAGAAAACTGAGAGTTGTTAAGGTCTCTATGGGAAGGAGTTAGTGTTAGATTAGGGCCATATTTCAATTCTGGGCTTTTAAAATGAGGTTATCTCATCAAGTCACTCTTCAATTATTTTTTTTAACCACCTGTAATGACTTAACATCTTCATTTTTTATGTCATTTCATTGGGGCATACTTTTTTCTAATTGCTTTTTTCCTAGAAAGATTAAATATGAGTTTTTTCATTCTAAGGATCCTGTTTACTAGCAAAGTATGGAAAAAGTACTGTCAAACAGCAAACATCTCTTAGTTCTTATCTAAATATTTCAGGTTTTTCCTTCCCCTTTCATTTATCCTACCCCAGTCTGCCATGTGTATGCTTTGTATTTTCAAAATTTTGCTTAGAAGCTAAATAAATAAAATAAACCTTGTGCCAACAATTGTACAAACATATTTTGCTTAAAGTATAAGGTAAATTAATAGACAGTGACTATTCCGTTTTCTAAAACTTCATTGTAGTTATCCACATAAAAAAAGCAAGCATATCGTTGACTTTTAATTCATTGAAATAGTGCTATTTCAATAGGAATATAATATTCAGAACTATATGTTGCCATCTAAGTATTTAATGTAATAATAGAGAGGTGAGCAATCATTCCAAGGTTTTAGAAGAGATTTAATTCAATCATTAATGTCTCATTAATGATCTATGTTGTTGTTGTTGTTGTTATGTGCTGTGGAGTCGGTTCTGACTCATAGCGACCCTATACAGGGTTTCCGAGGCTATAAATCTTTATGAGAGCAGAAAGCCTCATCTTTCTCCTGCGGAACAGCTGGTAGTTTCGAACTGCTTACCATGAGATT